CATTGACTCTCACCGGGGTACGGGGTCCCACACACACTGACTCTCACTGGGGTACAGGGTCCCACATACACATTGACTCTCACTGGATTTGTTGCTCATATTTCACTTTACGAGGGGATAGTCTTCAGTGCAGCAGGGGAGGTGTTTGAAAGTTATTGCAATTGAATGTGCCACATTTGAACCTTTGTGAGTAAATTCAACAGAGTCCCACTACCGCAGGTCAGGGCCCAATATTTATCAACTCTTTGACCTTCATCAGGCTGGACCGTTTTGAGAAGACAAATGAGATGTTACTCAACTTCAACAATCTGTCAAGCATGAGGCTAAACCAGATGACAGAACGATACCAGCATCATACCAAGGCACTTGTGGACATGAAGAAAGATCTTGACAATATCTTTCGGCGAATAAGGTACTGTGTTAGCGAATGATCGTGTGTTGCTTGTCTTGGAAAAAAAACTGCTGTACCCTCACTGACCCTCTCCCAATCCAATCTTCTTGCTACTGTTCCTGATCACAATGATTTCAAAATCTTAACCATGTTTACAGCTTTCTCTGTGTTGTCACTACCTTCAACCTGTAATTCACCCTCCTGTCTTTCCATTCATAATCTCCTCAATGCATCTTCTGCATCAGCATCAGTGGCAGAGCCTTCAGCCATATTACACTGCATTTTGAGGTTTCGTCTCTAACTCCTTCTATCTACAACACACTTAAAATTGTCCTGTTCTGACTTTATCCTCAGTTGAGTGAGCAGGTCAGCTGGAGTTTGCAATCCTGGTCCCAGTCATTGAAGACAGGAGAAGTTTTGGCCATGTACTGTCTCCCTGTGGTCGGGCACACTGACACTAGTTGTTGCCAATGAGGACATGTGAAGAATGAGTTATCAGTAGGCAGCTGGCTCCTGGAGGAGTGTACCACAGCGTGCCCTTTATGGAGAAGGAGAGCAGATTTCATAAAAGCACAGAATAGTTACAGCACAAAAGGATGACATTTAAATCATCATTCCTCTGCTGACTCTCTGAAGCAGGAATTCTCCTTGTGCCATTCCTCACACCTTCTCCCCAGCCCACGTTCTTCTTTCTCAGGCAATTGTTCAATTCCATCTGAAATGCTTGATTTGAATTTGCCACCACCACACTCTCGGGCATTAGATTTCAGATTCTGACCACTTACTTTCTCCTCCTATCACCATTGCATCTTTTGCCAATTATCAGTAGCCGCTGGTTATTGATCCTTCCATCAATAGAAAGAGGGTTTCCCTTTTTAACTTTGTCCCAACCTTTCATGATTTTCAACATCTCTATCAGATCTGTAATCAAGTATCAAGCTGAGGCTAAATCAGTGTATTTTACAGTCTTTATAGTTTTAACAATTTCCCTGCTCTTGTACTCTATGCCCCTGTTAGTAAAGCCCAGGAATGCTTTATACTTTAACAACTGCTCTAACACCTCGTCGTGCTATTTTCAATGATTTGTGTAATTTCCCTTCTCCAGCCTCCTCTTGAGAATTGCGTCCTTTATTTTGTATGGTCTTTTGTGTTTTTTGTATCAAAATTAATCATTTCACACTTCTCTGTGTTAAATTTCATCTGACATTTCTCCACCTATTTCACCTGTTTTATCTTTTTGAAGCTCTACACTGCCCTCCACACAGTTCACAATGTTCCAAGTTTTGTATCATCTGCAATGTTTGAAATTGTACCCTGTGCATATCCTGACCCAAGATAAGTAGCATATATCAGGAATATTCACTTTGTTTTGATTTATTGTTTGAAATGGGAATAAAAGAAGTCTTTGTTCTGTGCTAAAGTATCCTCATGCCGTTAAGGAATTTCTTTTAGCCCCTGTATTGAGGTATTGTGCCACTGGAGGGAGCAGGTGCATTAGGCAAATACAAACATCAAATCATTGCAGAATTTTCATCTTGAGGTTTATCACAGTAAACCGTGCAGCCTCACTGTCGGTGGCTACATGCAGTCATAAAAACATATGAATTATGAGCAAGAGTAGGCGACTCAGCCTTTTAAGCCTGCATTGCTATTCAATAAAATTAAGGCTGATCTGTTTGTAACCTCATTCACACCTGATAACCTTTCACCCACTTACTTTATCAAGAAGCTGCCTACCTCAGCCTTAAAAATATTCAAGGATCTAACAGTGACCCCTAGTTTGAGATTTTCCTGCAAGAGGAAGATCCTTTCCACATCCATCCTGTCAAGACCCCTTGGATGTTGTATGTTTTATTCAAGTCACCATTCCTCACAAGACAACAACCACCGCACCCCGTCCCCCCATCCGCCAACACACACACACACACACACACAACACCACACACATACAACCCATCCCCAGGTATTAGTCTGATAGTAAACCTTCTTTGAACTGTTTCCAAAGCATTTATATCCTTCCTTAAATACTGAAACCAATAATGTACACAGTGCTCCAGATGCACCTCACTAATGCCCTGTGTAACTGAAGCATAACCTCCCTTCATTTGTGTTCAGCGCCTCTTGCAATAAAAAATAATATTCTATTAGTTATCCTGATTTCTTGCTGTTCCTACAAACTAATCTTTTTCAATTCACTCCCAAAAACACTCAGGTTCCTCTGCATTTCAGTGCTCTGTGATCACTGACCGCTTAGATAACATGGTGCCAAAATAGTCAGTTTCACATTTTCCTACATTATGTTCCATTTGCCAGCTCTTTGCTCACTCACCTAACCTATCTACAACTTTTTGTAGCCTCCCCTAGATGCTCTTCATAACTTTTCTACCTATTTTTGTGTCTTCAGCAAATTTAACAACAATGCCTTCCATCTCTTCATTCACGTCATTGATATAAATTTTAAACAGTTGAAGGCCTGGCACTGATCCCTGTGATGCACCACTTCTTCCATCTTGTCAACCTGAAAGAGACTCACTTTTGCCTCCTTTATTTCCTATTCGCCAGCCAATCCTCTATCTATGCCAATATGCTACCCCCATTCCACAAGCCTTTATTTTCTCAGTAATCATTGATGTGGCACCTTATTCAATCCCTTCTGGACATCTAGCTACAGTACATCATGTTATTTCCACAAAGAACTCCAATTTCAGTTTCACAAAACCATGTTGACTCTATTAGACTTTTCCTATAACGTATTTAATAATTGCTTCGAACCCTTTTCCTCTCACAATCCAACTGCCATGGTGAGATTCGAACCCGGGTTCCCAGAACATATCTGAGTCTCTGGATTAACAGCCCAGCGATAATACCACTAAGCCATCACCTCCCCTATGCAGAACCTCTTCCTTTGTCCTGCCTATGTTATTGGTACCTTTGTGGACCGTGACGACTGGATCCTCCCCTCCCTCTGTAATTTTTCTGAAGCTCTGAGCAGAATTTACCAAACCTTGACATGAGGTTGGCAATGTAGCCTTCTGGACTCTTGTTCTTGGCTACAGAGAACAGTGTCAACCTTTTTCACTATACTGCCACGAGCACACCCACTCATCCCAACATGAAATGATCAAAAGTCTGTTGGGCATTTGCAAAGGCTGAGGTTCTTGCACTTCTGCCCTCCAGATACCCTATCTGCCTTCCTTACAGTCACATACTCCTGTCACTGAGCACTGACCAATTCAGAAAAACCTATGCCAAGAAGTTTGACTGCCTCATGCACAAAGCATCCAGGAAACCTTTCCCTTTCTGATGTACTGCAGTGTCAGTAGTTCAGCCTCTAGATCATAGCAGCTGAAGCTTCTTGAGCTGCAAGCACTGGTTGCAGGTGTATTTGCCCTAGATTACACCAGCATCCAGAAGCTTCCACATGCAGCAGCTGTGATGCAGCAGCTGTGACACATCACCTGTCCTGCCATCTTTAATGTGTTTCAATTAATACGTAATTAATTTACTCAATTATTTTGTTTTCATTTTATATATTTGTTAACCTTACCACCAGTACCTATACTATTTTGAACAGTAGGCATAAAATAAACCTTAAACACTTACCAGATACTCACCATGCAGCTGGCTTTTTTCCTGTAGTAGGGTAAGAACCAATTCCTACAGGGTGAAAAAATTGAAGACAGATAAAGAAGCACCTCATTTCCTGCTTCCTCCAACTCCTTCACTCACCAACTGTCAGCACTCAACCCCACTGTCTCATGGCCGTGCCTCATGGTCTGAGTGCCTCTGGACATGGTGTTGGTGTCTTGGTCACCCAATGCTCCAGATGAAATTTCATGTTGGAGAATACATTGTAAGTAGATATGTGTGATATCACTATTGGTACATTTATGCAGTATTTCTGTCAGGTATAAGCAGTCTCCCTGCCTGCGTGTGGTGATTTACGTATAGTTGTGTATAAGTTACAAGCAGCAAAACTGCACAAGAATACAGATAATCTGTGATGTAGAAAATCTGATGAATTGGCACCAACAAATGTCCAACCTGAGAAGAGGTTTTTCTGAACGTGGCTTCCAGGGTTCTGATCAACTGGTCATTTGTTTTTGTTTCTCTTTAGGATTCTGAAGGACAAACTTGCAAAGCAACACCCTGAAGCATTCAGCAGTAAGTATGTTCAGGGGGTTGTACATTTTTCACAGATTAATGTCATTTGTCTAGCTGTGGGACATGTCAGAGAAACCCATAAAAATTTATCAGGTAGCACACAGAAATCTTTTGCTTTGAGAGATTGGAATGTGGAACTTGAAGCACAAACTGATCAGCCAATGTCCTACTGAAGGTGAAGCAGGGTCAAAGAGCCAAATAACCAACTTCTGCACTAAGTTTCTATGTATCTAAATGTTTTCTTTAGAGGGTTGTGAATATTTGTAATTCTCTACCTTACACCACTACTCTGTCATTAATTCAGGGGAACAGTGTCAAGTTGGCAAATGAATTGCAACACAGAAGTGTGAGGTTGTACCTTGTCATAGGAAGGAAAAGGAAATCGTAAACTCCCTGGGCATTCGGACTCTAAATGGTGCAGACAGTAACAGGAATCAGGGAACTGCAGATACATACAGTTGTATGAAATAGAAGCAGGAATAGACCATTCAGCCCCTCAAGCCTGCTGCTCCACTCACTAAGATATTGGCTGATCTGTTTGTGTTTAAAGTTCCACATTCCAATCTACCCCCAATAACCTTTCATTGCCCTGCCCAACCAGAATCTACCCACCTCTGCCTTAAAATATATTTAATGATCTCACCTCTACCACCTTCTGAGGCAGACAATTCCAAAGTTGCACAACCCTCTGAGAGAGGGAAGAAGCCTCGTCTGTGGGATACCCCCAATTTTAAAACCCTAATTCTGGACTGCCCGAGAGAGGAAATGTTATCTTTGTTCATACTATTTGAGATCTTATACACTTCAGTCAAGTTACCCCTCACTCTTCGAAACCCCAGGAGTAGGCCATTTGGCCCTTTAAGCCTGCTTCACATTCAATTTGATCATGGCTGATCATCTAGCTCAGTACCTTATTCCTGTTTTCTTCCCACAAGCTTTGATCCCTTTAGCCCTAAGAGCTATACCTAACCCCTTCTTGAAATCATTCAATGTTTTGGCCTCAACTGATTTCTATGGCAGAAAATTCCACAGGGTCACTACTGTCCAGGTAAAGACATTTCTCTGCGTTTCAGTCTTAAATGGCATACCCCGTGTCCTTAGACTGACCCCTGGTTCTGGACTCCCTGGTCATTGGAAACATCTTTCCTGCATTTACCCTTTCTGATCCTATTAGAAATCTGTAAGTTCCTACGAGATTTCCCCTCATTTTTTAAACAAGCCCAGCCTGTCCAACTTATCCTCATAAGCCAACGCACTCATTCCAGCAATTGGTGCCATAAACTCCCTCTGAACTACCTCCAATACATTTTCCATCCTTCCTCGAATAAGGAGACTGAAACTGTACATGTTGTTTGAGATGTGGTCTCACCAATGCTCTGTATAACTGAAACATAGCATCTCTAATTTTATGTTCAATTCCTGTCATACTAAAAGAGGGTCTCTCATTAACCTTCTCAATTCCGATCTATACTTGCACACTAACCTTTTGTGACTCATGCACTAGAACATCTAACTCCTCTGCACCTCAGAATTCTATCTCCATTTAAGAGATTTCTACTTCTTCCTGCCAAAGTGAACAACTTCATGTTTTCTCATATTATACTCCATCTGCCAGACTTTTGCTAACTTGCTTAATCTATCTATATCTATCTGCAAATTCATTATGTCTTCTCCACAACATATTTTCCTACCTTTTGGCCATGGGTACCCGCATGGGCCCAAACTATGCCTGCCTGTTTGTAGGTTACGTGGAACAATCCCTCTTCCGTAGCTACACTGGCCCTAAACCCCACCTGTTTCCCCGTTACGTTGATGACTGTATCGGCGCCGCCTCATGCTCCCACGAGGAGCTCGAACAGTTCATCCACTTCACCAACACCTTCCACCCCAACCTTAAGTTCACCTGGACCATCTCTAATACCTCTCTCTCCTTCCTGGAACTCTCTGTTTCCATCTCTGGCAACCACCTAGAAACCAATATCCATTTCAAGCCCACTGACTCCCACAGCTACCTAGAATACACCTCCTCCCACCCACCTTCCTGCAAAAATGCCATCCCCTATTCCCAATTCCTTCGCCCCCACCGCATCTGCTCCCAGGATGAGGCATTCCACTCCCATACATCTCAGATGTCCTTGTCTTTCAAGGACTGCAACTTCCCCGCCTCAGTGGTCGAGAACGCCCTCGACCGTGTCTCCCGCATTTCCCGCAACTCATCCCTCACACCCCCTCCCGCAATAACAACCAAAACAGAATCCCCCTCGTCCTCACGTACCACCCCACCAACCTCCGGATCCAATGCATCATCCTCCGACACTTCCGCCATCTGTAATCCGACCCCACCACCAAAGACATTTTTCCCTCCCCACCCTTATCTGCTTTCCGGAGGGACCACTCTCTCCGTGACTCCCTTGTCCACTCCACACTCCCCTCCAGCCCCACCACACCTGGCACTTTTCCCTGCAACCGCAGGAAGTGCGACACCTGCCCCTACACCTCCCCCCTCACCCCCATCCCAGGCCCCAAGAAAACTTTCCACATCAAGCAGATGTTCACCTGCACATCTGCTAATGCGGTATACTGTATCCGCTGTTCCTGTTGTGGCCTCCTCTACATCGGGGAAACTAAGCGGAGGCTTGGGGACTGCTTTGCAGAACACCTACGCTTGGTTCGCACTAAATAACTGCACCTCCCAGTCGTGAACCATTTCAACTCCCCCTCCCATTCCTCAGACGACATGTCCATCCTGGGCCTCCTGCAGTGCCACAACGATGCCACCCGAAGGTTGCAGGAACAGCAACTCATATTCTGCTTGGGAACCCTGCAGCCTAATGTTATCAATGTGGACTTCACAAGCTTCAAAATCTCCCCTCCCCCTACCGCATCCCAAAACCAGCCCAGCTCGTCCCCGCCTCCCTAACCTGTTCTTCCTCCCACCTATCCCCTCCTCCAACCTCAAGCCCCACCCCCATCTCCTACCTACTAACCTCATCCCGCCCCCTTGACCTGTCCGTCCTCCCTGGACTGAACTATCTCCTCCCTAACTCCCCATCTACACTCACCTTTACTGGCTCGATCCCCGCCTCTTTGACGTGTCTGTCTCCTCTCCACCCATCTTCTCCTCTATCCACCTTCTATCCGCCTCCCCCTCTCTCCCTATTTATTTCAGAACCTCCTTCCCCTCCCCCATTTCTGAAGAAGGGTCTAGGCCCGAAACGTCAGCCTTCCTGCTCCTCTGATGCTGCTTGGCCTGCTGTGTTCATCCAGCTCTACACCTTGTTATCTCATATTTTCCTACCTATCTTGGTTTCTTCTGTGAATTTAGCTCCTGTGCCTTTGCTAATCAGATCTAAGCTATGAATCATTAAAAGTAGTGTCACTACCTAATAAAAACATATTTTTTAAAATACAAAAGAATACAATTGAAAGCAGAAAATTATATTAAACTTATAGAGAACCTTGGTTATATCACACTGGTCTATCCAAGAAAAAATAGAGGCACTTGAAAAAGTGTAAAAAAGAGTCACAAGACTAAGACCAGAATTGCAAGCATATACTTCTCAACAAAGATTGATCTGATTATGGTGAAAAGGTAGGTGAGGAGTGACCTGATAGCTTTCTTTAAATTATGGAATGGTGTAATAAGTTAGGTGTAGAGAAGGAGTTTCCACTTCTACAAAAGTCCAAACAAGGAATGGTCAACAAATCAATAAGGAATTCAAGAAAAAATGATTAACCAGTGGAAGACAAACAAGCAGCACAAGTATAGTAGAAAATGAAAAGGTAAAAAGGGAGAGATTTGGGGTGGCACAGTGGCTCAGTGGTTAGCACTGCTGCCTCACAGCACCAGGGGACCCGGGTTTGATTCCATCCTCGGGCAACTGTCTGTGTGGAGTTTGCACATTCTCCTCGTGTCTGCGTGGCTTTCCTCTGGGAGGGAGGGAGCTGGAAAGCTGAAACGTAAGAGCAGGGTTAGGCCATTCAGCCCCTCGAGCCTTCTCCTTCATTCAATTAGATCAGGAATGATGTAGTTATTGCCTTAACACAACTTTTCTGTTATGTCCATAATTCTCAGCTCTCTTGTCAGCTTCTACTACTCATTAACAACCCTTTGAGAGGAAAGATCATTCTTTGGCCTACACCTGCCCCTATTTATATGACTTTGTTAGGACTAGAAAGCTATGCTGATAGGGTGAAAAGGAGTATTGTGGAACATAGGCGGTGCATGGACGAGTTAGATGAAATGGCATGTTTCTGTGCTGAAAGTCTGCTGTAAGAGTCAGTGTGATCCTGGGCAAGTTGCCAGTACATGACCTACTGCCTGAGGAATGCCTGCAGTAAGTAGAGAATTACTGGGGACATGGAGGAAACAACACATCACCCAGAGGAAGGAAAAGGCAAACAATGCCTAAAGATATCAGCCTGAAAGAGTTCTCTCCAGTTATTCAATGGGCTGTGAAATGCCATGTTTATGATGTATCTGATGAACTTGAGCGGCATTGTATGTGACAATGTGCTATGGAATGGTTGGGAATGAGTTAGCACCCGTGGACTTGCCAGGGAATGTTTCCTGACCCCAAACGTGTTTACTGATGGGTGAGTAGGAGAGGGCAGGACAGGCTTGTGAGAACTACGATGAAGTTGGATATGAAGGGAAGTTGGGAGATGAGTAAGGTAAATGTTGTCATTGCAAGATGGAGATAGGAGTGACTTGGGTGAGAATAGGATGAGTTAGAGCTGGATGGGCAATAACTGTCTATTGGCAGGGTTGAAATGTGACCAGATCTTACTGATACATGATTCTATTTTTGGGGGATAGGTACCTACAATTCCCTGGTTACAGATGACGATGAGGATTTTGATTCAATCCCAAAGGGTTCATTACCGCTGTCCTCCGCTTTGGAGCTGAGTTCTGACTCCAGTAATACCAGCCCAACATTACTGTCCACTGGAGCAAGCGGGGACTCGGAAGATGCCTCACAGGGACTCTCAGACACGCTGCCGGTTCAGGGACAGATTGATGGGCATGAACAGCCTGTCAGTGAAGATGGGGGAGAATAATCTTCAAACTGCACCTGGATAATGCCTCCCCTCAGAGTGGGAGGGTTAAAGCAGCCTGGAAACCAGGCCCAAGGACCTGGACAAGCTCTTGGATGAAACCTCTTACTGTTGGTATTAGAGCAGACACCAAGGCCAATGCCTGAAGAAACACAAACTAACTTCAAACATTTGCTGTTTTTCTTGTTTTTTTTTTATTGCACAGTGGATTACTGTTTCCCAAAATATTTGGTGAACTCCACTCACTGTGTCATCTTAGGGGTTTAACGGCGAAACACAGTCATGTTCACTGTATGACTGTAGGATTTGCACTTGTTGGATTTATGTTAAAAATGTAAGATGTGAGAAAATAAAATGTCAACAGCACTGCAGCTGATGGCCGAAGTGTGTTTTAGTGTCAGGTGGGATAGTTCGTTGTTGATCTGTGGAGACACTCACAGTCAGGACATCAAGAATTTATCAACCGGTTACTGCTTAAACCTCACAGCATGTTAGCTTGAGGAATGATGCCTCTACTGATGGGATGCTGGGGTTCACAACCAGAGCAGCTGGTTAGCCATGTAATTTGAATGCTGTCTTTACGAAATAGGAGCTGGCAATAATTAACTGAATCATTGTGATAATCCTCAGGAATGACAAGACTCCCAAATAGATGTAAATTCCTGCCAGTGTGAGTGGAAAAGTGGAAAGCAGGACCTGAAGACTATTCCCAGGCTGAACTCAGACTGTGCGAAGGATTCTAGCTCAATAGGGAGTTCACACAAGCTGTTTCCTTAACTCTGCTTTGGTCCTAAGCTTGCCCACTTCTACCTGTCAGAAAGGGAAATGTTAAAGTTAAGTTGCTGGTTGTTAAGTTTACACTGCCTATTAATTATACTACTACTTGTTTTATGGCACTGTCATTAAGAAATGTAGTTTTCATTGCTTTCTTATCACAGGATCTTCTGTAAGAGGAGTGGCTCACCAGTTGTTTTCAGCCCAAAGCTGAACTGCTTGCATCCATCACTGCAATAACCTGATTAGAACAAAATGCATTATATCCTGCCTTAGTGCAGCGAAATATCCTCCAGCACTTTACATGAGCAGTTATCAAAACAAACTAAACCGTGGAGATGTTCTGAGGAAGGGTCACTGGACCCAAAACGTTAACTGATATCTCTCCACAGATGCTGCCAGACCTGTTGATTTCTGTTTTTGTTCCTGATTTCTGACAGCCACAGTTCTTTTGGTTTTTATTCGTGTAGATGTTAGGACAGGTAACCAATAACATGGTCAAAGAGCTGCATATAATTAGAGTATCTCAAAGGAAGGAAGAAAGATAAGGGAAGGACTCATTTATATAGCAACTTGCACAACCACAGGTGTCCATAAGTACTTTGCAGCCAATAAAGCACTTCTGAAGTGTGGTCAGTATTGTAATGTAGGAAATGCAATAGGGAGGGAATTCCACAGCTTGTCGCCCAGGCAAGTGAAGCCACGACTGACTTCAGTGGAGCAATTCAAATCTCAGGATTCATCTCAAAGATGCTCAAAATTCCAAAATTGGCGGAGTGGTAAGATCTTGGAAGGTTTTGATATTGGAGGAATTTACAGTTAAGGAGTGAGGAGACCCTGGAGGGGATTGAACATGAAATTGAGAATTTAAAATTTGAGATGTTGGTGACCTGGGACGTGGTGTAGGTCAGTGAGCACAGGGCTGTTGAGTGAATGGGATTGGTCTGAATTTTGATGAGCTGGGGTTTCGGCTGGAGTTGAGACAGATGATATGATGGAGATGGCACGAGGTGGACTGAGTAAAGGATGGAGAGTATGAGGTTGTTGTCTTGCTCACCGAGCTGGGTAGTTTTTGTTCAGACATTTCATCACCATGCTAGGTAGCATCATCAGTGGACCGTACAGACTGGACAGTATAAATTCTAAGCGGAGTAGAATAACCGCTTCATCGCAAGCCTCCCTGATGATGTCACCTACCATGGTGACAAAACATCTGAACAAAAACAAATTAGCTCAGCGAGCAAGTCATCAACCTCATCCACAACCTGTGCTACAGATCTTTACCAAAGCTTTAAACAATTACGGATGGAGAATATATCAGGTTGAAAATTCAGCTTGAGCCTAATAAGGACGCTGAAGTTAAGAATCACCTGATTTAAGCTGAGACAGTGACTGTGGAGACAATTGTCGTCAAATGGAAAACTGTCCCAATTGACCATTTCTGTCATACTTCAACCTCTTGGCTGCATAAGCAACTACCTTTAGGCAAAATGTAGCATAAGAAATCCTGAGCAGGAGCAGACCATTCAGCCCAATAATCCTGCTCCAATCGTCAATACATTAAAGCTGACCTTTGGATTCAATTCCACTTTCCCTTCCAGTCCCCATATCTTCAAGACCTGACCTTAAATATATTTAACAATGGAGCATCCACAATCCTGTGGGGTAGGGATTTCCAAAGATTAGATGAAGACATTTCTCCTTGTCCAATTTCTTCCACCCCTGCCAAACAAAACCTATGTATGGATTCCACAGTCACAGAAAAAAAACTTTGCAGGATCTGCCCTTATGCTTCAATAATAACAATTCTGTTTCTTTTACTATCCAGAAAATATAGACAGAAATTACCCCAATCTCTCATCACAAAAACAGACTTACCTAAAAATGAGTTTGACAACCATTGAAGCTACATGACCACTTGCATTGCCCAGCAGCAGAATCAGCAAGTGACAGCTGGGACCAGGCAATCCTACAACCAACAGATCACATCTAGCTCTGCAATCCTGCCACAACTGATCAGGAATGATGTTGTCAATTAAACAACTCAGTATGGGAGGAGGGTCCACATACAACCCCATTCCGAATGATATATCTGCGCAAAAGGATAAGGCTGAAGTATTTGCATTCATTTTCAGCCAGAAGTGCCGAGTGGATGATCAATCTCGGCTCCTCCTGGGGTCTCCGGTTTCACAGATGCCAGTCTTCAGCCAATTCTATTCACTCCACCTGATATCAAAAAACAATTGAAGGCAATTGCTTCTGGAAAGTCTCCAGGTCCAAATACAATGAAACCTGGACAATATTCAGGCTTAGACTGAGAAATGGCAAGTAACATTTCCACCACACAATATCAGGAAATGACCACCTCCAACAAGAGAAAATGTAACCATCACTTCTTGATAGTCATTGACATTATTATCATTGAATTCCCTATTTTCAATATCCTGGGGGCCACCATTGACCAGAACTGGACTAGCCATATAAATACTGTGACTACAAGAGTAGGTCAGAGGCTGGGAATCCTGCAGCAAGGAATCGTCTGACTGCCTAAAGCCTAACTACCACCTCCACTTCCCTGGATGAGTGCAACCCCAACAATGCTCACAAAAAACTAGGCACCATCCAGAACAAAGCGGATTGCTTGACTGGACTCCATCCACCATGCTAGGCGTCCACTGCCTTCACTATCAGCTACAGTGGCAACTGTGTGTATCTACAAGGTGCACTGCAACAACTGACCAAGGGTCATGCGACAGGAAAGCAGCAGCTGCTGTTGGAAAGTATGTGACTGTTCCCCTTAGTTGAATGGTGCATAATTTTAAAATGAAGGGCAGGCGATGTTTTGTAAAAATCTTTCATACAGAAGTTGGTGGGAATCTGGAATACACTGCCTGGGAGGCAGGAAATCTCACAATCTTTAGAAAGTAAGTGGATGAGCATTTGAAATGTTATAACATTCAAGGCTGTTGGCCAAGTGCTGGAAAGTGAGATTAGTATAGATAGGAGATTTTGTTTTGTCAATGCAGACTTAGTAAAATGAAGGGCCTCTTGAACTGCACAAATCTACGACAGCAACTTCCATACCTATGACCACCATGACCCAAAAGGACAAGGGCAGCAAGATACATGAGAACACCACCCCATACAGGTTCCCCTCCCAAAACCCTCAAAATCCTAACTTGGAAGTATATCACAGTTCCTTCAGTGTCGCTGGGTCAAAATCCTGTTACTCACTTCTCAACAGCATTGTTAGCGTACTTAATATGACATGAGCTGCAGCAGTTCAAAAGGCTGCTCTCCACCACCTTCTCTTGAGCAATTGGGGATAGACAATAAATGCTGACCAAACCAATGACATCAACATTCCGCAAATGAATCAATGTTAAGCGAGCCCTCTTCTTCCTGGAATGAATCTAGTGAACCTTTGCTGTATCTCTTCCAATACAAGGAAATCCTTCCTAAAACTGTGGAGACCAAGACTGCGTACAACTTTCCAGGTATGGTCACACCAAAACCCTGTAGCATTGTATTAACATTGTACTCCAATTTCCTTGCAATAAAGGCCAACATGACATTTGCCTCCCTAGTTGCTTGTTTTACATGCTAGTATATTTTGATCCTTCTACAAGTACAATAAACGTAAAGCTAGAAAAGCACAACAGGTCAGACAGCATATGAGGAGCAAGGAAGTATTTCCTGTTCCTTGGATGCTGTCTGACCTGCTGTGCTTTTCCAGCTCCTCATTTACTGACTCTAGTTTCTAGCATCTGCAGTCCTTACTGTCTCCTTGTACAAGTACACCCAATTCTGTCCGAACATTAACATTTACATGTTTCATGCTTCCAAAAGTATTTTTCTTTTCTGTTCTTATGGCTAAAGAGAATGACTTTATATTTCACAACAATTTCCTTCATCAGTCATTCTGTCATCCTTTCATTTGTATATTTCTTTGTAACTTGTTTAAATCAAATCTTACAGCTTATATCCCCATCTCGATTGCATCAAGAGCAATTTAAATTGGAGTGGGTTCAGAAAAGATTTACCAGGATATTGCTGGGAATGGAGGGCTTGCGTTATAAAAATAGGCTGGAACATTTATCACTGGAGCATAGAAGGTTTGGGGTGGCCTTATAGAGGTTTATAAAATCATAACGGGCATAGGTAAGGTGAGTAGCAAGGGTCTTTTCCCTGGAGTTGGGGAGTTCAAACCTAGGGGCATATTTTTAAGGTGAGAGGAGAAAGTTTTAAAAGGGACATGAGGGGCAAGTATTTTTACACAAAGTGATTCATAGCTGAAATGAACTGCCAGAAGAAGTGGTGGATGTGGGTACAGTTGCAACATTTAAAAGACATTTGGATAGGTACATGAATAGGAAGGGCTTGGAGAGATATAGGCCAAATGCAGGCAAATGGGACTAGTTTAGTTTGGGAACATAGTCAACATGGACTAGTTGGACTGAAGGGTCTGTTGCCATGCTGTAGGACTGGAGAACTTAAATACTATTGGTCTTTTGGTATGAGTCATTAATATTGATTGTAAATAGCTGAGGCTCTTAAAGCACTCCAGTAGTCCAAGCTGCCAACCTGAAAATACCCCATTTATGCTTACTCTCTATATCCTGTCCTTTAACCAATCGTCTATCCATGCTAATATATTACCCAACTCCTTTACCTTGTGTAATAAGCTATTGGCCCTTTATCAAATACCGTTTGGAAATCCAGGTATACTACATCTGTTAATTTAATTTACTAATTAGATTCTCTCTAGTAAATCATACAGGACTTTTCTTGCATAAAACGAAACTGACTTATTCTAATCACATTCTGCTTTTCTATGTGCATTGTTAAGCATCTCTCACAAACCTAGAAAGACACAGGTCGAAATCCAGTCACAGGAAGACTGCATTCTCTTCTCCAGTTGCCATTATCAAGGGGCTTCAGGTTACAAATGTTTCTAATCTCAATTGCAACAGGCTAAGTTTCTGAAGAGAGAGGAAAACCCAGTGGGTGGATGGTTGAACCATTTTTATTTCATGATTTTGTATTTAAAAAAAATGATGGGAAGTGAGCAAGGATGCTGTCTGATTTGTAAGCTGATCATTCTTACATATTGTCGTATGATTTAGTAGCCAGTCACTGTTCATTTCTTGAGCTGACAGGCTTCTTCTTTTGCTTGTTGCTCCTTCCTTTTGACATAAATTTCATTACAGGAAAACATTACGCCAGCAATAAATGACACAAACTCTTCAAAATTCACTTCCCCGTCACCATCAAAATCCAGATCTTTCATCATCTTGTCAAAAGATTCAACATTCTTCTTATTCTGTCAAGAGATGGAAAAAACAAAAAATATAAAGAGGAATGAAGTTATTCCATTTTAATGGGAGGAATGAACATACAAAATAGGAGCGGAAAGAATTGGTTCAACACCTCATGCCTGCTCAGCCATTCAATGAGATCACAGCTGATCTGTTTGTATTTCAATTTCACATTCGCATTTATCCTCAATAACCCCGGATTCCCCTGCCTATCGAGAACTTACCTACCTCAGCCTTAAAATATTTAATGACTTCCACCACCTCCTGAGGCACAGAATTCTGAAGTTTTAAGAGAATATAATTCTTTGCAGACAAGTTGTACCCAAGGGTCTGTTTCTGTACTGTATGACTCTATGACTCTGTCTTAAAAGGGTGACTTCTACTTTTGAAACAGTGTCCTGCGTCTGGTGTGACCTACAGAAAGAAACATTCTTTCCACGTCCACCTTGACAAGATCATTCAGGATCTTGTACTCTTCGATTAGGTCACCCTCACTTTTCCAAACTCCAGTGGAAACAAGCCCAGTCTGTCCAATCTTTCCTCATAAGACAAACCACTCATTTCCAGGTATCAATGTAGTGAACTGCTTTCAATGCATTTACAATTTTCCTTAAATAAAGAGAATAAAACTGCACTCAGTATTCAAGATGTGGTCTAACAATACCCCATACAATTGGCGCATTACATCCTTATTTTTACGTTCAATGGAAAGAGAAACAACATAAGATATTTGATTTTATAGAGGGTGTAGGAACAGTAAGTCCTGACTATTGGCATAGTTAATGAAGCAGACAGTAACCTGGGCTTTATAAATTGAGGCATACAGTACAGGGGCAGGTCTGTGAAATGTGTATTAAAAAACTGATTCAGTCTCAGCTGGAGTACTTTGTCCTTCCGGACACCAGACTTTAGGAGGGATGTGAAACATTAGGGAAGATGCAGAAAAGATTCACAAGAATGGTTCCAGGGGATAAGAGACTTCAGCTAAGTGGATAGATTGAATAAGTTGGGACTGTTTTCCATGGAGAAGAAAGGTTGATTTGATTAAGGTTTTCAAAACCATGCAGGATCTGGACAGAGTGGATAGGGAGAAAATATTCCTATTGATGGGAAAGTCAAGAAGCAGAAGATACTGATTTAAGGTAATTGGCAAACAGAAAAGCAATGGCAACATGAAAAGCATTTCCATGCAGTGAATGGTTGGGATCAAGAATACAATGCCTGAAGGGGCGGTAGAGACAGGATCAATCAGAAGAGGATTGGATAGTTTACTAAGAAGAAAATAATGCAGGAATATAGGGAAAGGAAACAGGACTGGGTGAACAGAGAGCCAGCACAGATATCATGGGCTGAATGATCCCATTCCATGCTGTAACAATTTCAAGATTCTACAGAGGCTTTATCCGTGATACTGAGAGCTGAAGATAATAGGAGGTGTACGCTGTTGCATATTAGTTGGTCACACTTTGTGCTGGTCAGGACATTAAAAAGATTCCCCCCCCTCCACCCCAAACCATGTCCCCAAAGGGCTGAGAGGTTTTGACTCTCTTCCTGAGCCAGTGTGCTAGTGGGTGAAGTCAGGTGAGTCTAGCTACAAAGTGTCTCACTAGGCTGCTTTGGATTTGCTGGGTCTAGCCTGACTGAACTACTACTCAGTATTTCTCATTGTTCAGTCTTGGCTTGCTTCCCAGAAACCGCACCCTCATTCTAAACATTCCCCAAACCATTAAACATTAATTCCTCAACCACAGGTCTGACTGCTTGTAAAATGCTTCCTCTGTGGAGACACCCTGATTTACCATTTGGACCCAAATTACTACTTACTCCTTCACATTGGAGTCAGCCCGCACTGCAGATTTGACTGTTTCTGGGGTCTGGCTAATTCAGCCAAATGGTCATCTGCCCAAATAACCTCAACACAGACCCTTACCATTATTCACCTTTGGGAACGATGCATACATTATAACTTCTAGTGTTCCCCAAGAATCTGACCTCGGCCCTTCATTTCTCAACCACACTCTGCCTCTCACCAACATCTAAAAGCACAATGTTAGTTTTCACATGTATAACACCCAGGTCTTCCTCACCACAATCTCTCTCAACTCTGCCTTTGTTCATCAATTTATAAATCTGCTTGTCCAACAACCAGGACCGAATGTTAATATCAGCAAAGCCACTGTCTTCAGCCCTGCCACAAACTCCATTCCTTCCTGGCAATTGTCAGCCTGAGAACCAAAGAACCAAACTGCTCACAACCTTATGTCATATTTAATACTGTGACAGATTTCTGACCACAAACCTGCACATCTCTCAGACCATTGTTTCCACTTCCATCACTTCACTTCACCTCATCTGCTGAAACCCCTGGACTTGATTACACCAACATTCTCCTGGCCCATTCCCACATTCAATTTCTGTAACCTGGATGCCATCCAAACCTCTGCTCCCCCTTTGTCTTAACTGACATCAAATGCTGTTTACCCCTGACCCTGCATTGACCAGTACTGGGTTCCAATTCAGCCACATCCTTTTTTTTCAAACCCATCATTCTAACCATCCCTCCACATCTCACTTCCTCCAGCCCTATATCCCTCCAAAGCCCCTGTAATCTTGGTCATTGTCAAATTGCTAGATTATTGGCAGTCATGCCTAAGCCAGCTGCAGCCTAACCTAACCTAACCTAACAATCCTAACATTTTGGAGATATCCCAAAATGTCTCCTCCATACTTTTCCTCCTTTAACAAGCTCCTTTAAAACGAGCACTAATCTGCAGAATAGCAGAGGGGAGACAGTTGTGTAGTAGACATGTCATTGTGTTAGTAATCCATTACTACCCTGCAAATACAGGTTCAAATCTCAGTCAGCTTGGAGAATTTGATTGCAGTTAATAAATCTGAAATATAAAACGAGTCTTGGGGTGGTGACCATGGAATTATTACCGATGGTTTTGTTTTAAAAACTATCATCCTCTAACATTCTCCCATAATTCCAGGAGGTGCAAACATAGGGAGGATTTTGATCTGGATCTGGAGGGGCAGGAATATGTTAAACAATCACCCAATGATCTGATTGGGAGCTTTCCTTCATTGTGAAAAATGATGAGATCATTGGGAGGTTGCTGTCTGAACAAACGGAGCATTTTGAATCATCAGAAGCTGTCTGCAGCTCAAATTATTGTGATTCAGCTCCCTCAGTTATTCAGGGTGAGGGTGAGGGGTGTGTATGCGAGGGAGAGGGGTGTGTATGCGAGGTTGTGAGCAGATAAAAGCTTTTGTACATGTTGGAGTGAGGTTAGGTTAGGTGCTTGGTAGGATTGGGACTGTGGCAGCATCAGGGTAACAGGGGGCATTTGGACAGGGGTGACACTGGGCGCTGGGTCAGGTGTGACACTGGGTCAGGGGTGACACTGGCTGAGGTGAGGTTTTGGTGTCGCCTACCTTACACAGCTGACCGAGCTCTGCTTCCATGAACTGTTTCATCTGGCATTTGTTCAGGGTGTGTTTATCCTTTTTGGCGTATTGATGGAAAACATCCATTAGGTTCTGCATGGCCACCTCGGTTTTAGTTGGAGTCGTCATGGTCAAAGATGCTGCTGGAGGCTGAGAAACAGAGAGCCTGGGGTTAGTAAACCCGGAGCTGGTCAACCCTGCCCCCGCGGGGCTGGTTAAGCTGCCCCATTGTGGTGGTGCGGTCGGAATTTCAGTCACATTTCACTTTATCCAAAGCTCAGAAACTCCCGAAACTTTGATCGGACCGCGCGCAGTTCCCACATCAGCCCCGACAGCCCATAATATCCTCCTCCCTCCCCCCCCCCAACCCATAGTAACCCCATTTCCCCACGCCCCCCACTCCCCAATCTGTATCACACCCCAAGGCTGGGTTTGCAACCGCAGAGAAACAAAATGAACAATGTTTGGCGACAGATCCCGGGAGATCGCGACTCAATAACGAACCTGGAGTTATGTCTGCACGGAGCCCAGCTCGGAATAGCTTGCTTTCCAGTTTCTTGCCCAGATGTGCAGCAGTTGTTGCTGTTGCTGAGTTTATAGGCAGCCCAGCCCAGCCCGCTGTGTCACTCAGGGAGGACTCTGCTGACTGGTTCTCCTGCTGCTTCAATCCTGCCCCCGCAAACTCTGACTCGTGGCTGAAAGAATTTACAGAGTTTAATCTCCAACTATCCTGCAAAAAAGTAGCAGAAATTTGTGCTGCCCTTTTCTAAGTAACAAATCGACAGAAGTACAGATCTTCTTATTAAGATTTAACAAGACAAATTAAACTATGACTGATGGATGAACATTCACACACACAGGGGAAATTACTAAGAACCTTCACCACAGCCTCATTACTCAAACTGCCTGAAAATCCCAAATTCAAATCGAACAATCAAAATAATACGCCCTTTCCCTGTGAGATCCGTTTCATTGCAACACTGACTGTAGACAGTTAGTGTCAAAGATTTGCGCACAATACAACTTCACTCCCAGCTCATGGCTAAATGACAGAGCCTCATGTGTACAGCAAGGGTTACATCTAGAGTAAAACTCCCTCTACACTTGCCCCATCAAACACTCCCAGGACAGGGACAGCACGGGGTTAGATACGAGAGTAAATCTTTCTCTACACTGTTCCCATAAAGCACTCCCAGGACAGGGACAGCATGGGGTTAGATACAGAGTAAAGCTCCTTCTACACCTTCCCCACATCAAACACTTCAAGAGGAGCAGGAAAGCTGACGTTTCGAGTCTGGACCCTTCTTCTGAAGAAGGGTCCAGACCCGAAACATTAGCTTTCCTTCTCCCCTGATGCTGCTTGGCCTGCTGTGTTCATCCAGCTCTACACCTTGTTATCTCAGACTCCAGCATTGGCAGTTCCTACTATCTCAAACACTTCAAGGACAAGGACAGCATGGGGGTAGATACAGAGTAAAGCTCCCTCTACACTTTTCCCCATCAAACACTTCAAGGACAGGGACAGCACAGGGTTAGATACAGAGTAAAGCTCTCTCAACACTGTCCCCATCAAACACTCCCAGGACAAGTGGCTAGTCACAAACTCCTTGTACGAGGTCTTTCCCTGCCTCAGTTCCACTCCAGTCATTTCTCAGTTACAGTTAAACACTTGATTAAATTGGTACCATGTGTTTTTAAGGTTCCATATTCGCTAGGAATGGGATTAACATTCTCACTCTGAGATTTTCACACAGATTTGATAAGATTTGTGCTCAAGCCTCTGGAGATGAACAAATGGAGTTGGTGGACTGTTCAAGTCCAATTTATGAAGTTGCTTTGAGCTGCTTCCCTAAACAAAATGGAACATTCTGTCGAAACAGGAATGAGTCAGAGATTCCAGCACAGTGCTCCTGTCCAAGTTGGCAAGTTTCAACAAATGCAGAATTAAAATGGTGTGCTAACACTAAGTTGTTTTCATTTTACAGGGAAAGGAGGTTAAACACCAAGTTAGATCAATGCTTTCTTTTTTAAGAAAGAAATGTTGCACTCTCACAACATTTTTGACATTGCATTTGAGCAGGGAAGTCGCTGAGATAGTGGGAGAGATCATGATTCTGACTCAGTTTCTTGCAGGGTGTGGCAGTGAATAAACAGTGTCTGTTCTCAGTTACTCGGACAACCAAACCTACAGAGAATGAAAACTTTCTGAAACCGCACAAAACACACCCACAGTGCAAAAAAGATCACAGTCCACTGGCAGGATCTGAACAATCCTCTTCCTGTCCAGCTGCTTTCTGTGCTGTTTACCCAACAAACAAGTTGGCAAAATGCTGCAAACTGTGCAGAGCACAGCAGGCAGTATAGCTGAAGCTCAAGTAGCTGCACTTCATCTGAGTTTGTGCAGGAACATTAAAAATCACAGCAGATCTTCAGTAACTGCCAGTGAGGTCCTGCCCTGGGATCATGGGTATATATAATAGCTTTACATTGGGTTGGGAAGGAAAGCTGCTCTACATCAGAGAGCATTCAGGCCAATGACCCGTAGGGTCGGTATCTCCCCACCCTGTGATCGTGCCACATTTTGGGTTAGAACAGATTTAATTGTATTGGCACAGGAAAGTGGAATTTGAATTTCTATAGCACCTTTCACATGCTCAAGGCCTTTCCAAACTGATTTGCGACCTAAGTGGGACTGTTGAAATGTAGATAACCTTAGGATCCCTACAGTATGGAAACAGGCCATTTGGCCCAACAAGTCCACAGCG